TGTTTTTTTTGGGGGGGGGGTCAGAGCTTTGTGACGTCATATTTGTGGGAGGTCTGACTTTTTGTGACGCCGTGTGTTGAGCGGGGGGGGGGTGTCCAAAATCGCGTGACGTCATTTATGGACGGCCCCTAATCGCATCGTGACGCTCACGGTCTCGAACATTTAACGCTGTAGGGACCCTCCGTATTCACAAAACGCAGTCACTAGCAGCTCCCTAGTTACCTCTTTTGCAATATAATTGACGCGTATCGGGTGAAATAAATATCCCAGAAACGGAGTTCTATGTTAAAGCATTTCCATCAAAATGAATGTAAACCGCATTATGTTGTTGTTCTTTCACACTGTCATTGAAACCATATTTCGTGCTGGTTGTGAAGGGGAACCCAACTCGGAGTAACGCTACTGCCAGGGATGATGATGATGATGGGGCAGCTGATGAGAGGCGATTGATTCACTGAGCACAATGCTTGCTTGACCAGGTCTCTCGTTTCACTGCAGGCTTGGGATCGCTATTGTACTTTGTGGTATCAGCAACAATGGTTGCCCCGATCGAACGACTTCATCCCCGCTCTGGCAACTGTGACTTTTCGTGACGCCGGCACGTGTCCAACACCCCCCCCCCCCACAACAACGTCACGGGATCTTGAACGCGCGCTGTGGAGCAGACGGCGTGTGGTTATGCACAGTATGCATGTTGAACTTCTTTCGCGCCGTACGTAGCCAACCGTGCTAATCGGAGGCGCGGGGAAGAAGGACAAACTAAACACTAAAGGCAGTTCTCAAGAAAGAATGTGCGGACACAAACACAATTATGCATGCGTGCTTGTGTTGAACTTCTTTCGCACCGTGCGTAGCCAACCGTACTAAACCGAGGCGCAGCATTAACCAAGGCGGCCGGTTTCTTTTGAACCGCGAAAGCTGTGCAACGAGCAGCAGCATGACCACCGCGTGGGTGAACATGTGGACCACAAAAACCAGTCACGGCTCACGAGAGCAGGATAATAATAATACCACGCAAGCGCTGTGAAATAGGCACAACTGATTTATTTGCGATTCACCAGGCAACGGCATTCACGTGATCCCCCCCCCCCCCCTCTTTAAATAGAAATGGCAAAACTAAAGATCCATAACGTTGTGAGCGCACCTCGACAGCTATCGGAGTTATTGTTCATCGTTTGGGTGTTACGCCGCGTGCCTCTAACCATACTTGCCTTTGTGAATGAGAAGAAACAACAACAACAACCCATCTACGCAGTTATTTTGACATCGTGCGTATTATCAATAACGTGGGGATGCAACTTCCATTGGCAAAATTAACCGGCAACAGTCGGAGCCGGCAACAGTCGGTGCGGGCAACAGTCGGTGCGGGCAACAGTCGGAGCCGGCAACAGTCGGAGCCGGCAACAGTCGGTGCCGGCAACAGTCTGTTCGCTTCGCACGAAGTTTAATTTCGCGGCAGGGACAAGTTTTGAGGATGGGACGATTTTGTTTGATGCAGGCCATTCCAAATATATGTGTGCGTTGTGTGAATGTATGCCACCGAAATTAGTTATTGGCTAATGTCCAATTACACATTTAAATAGTGTTGTTATTTGTAGTGTTGTTTCCAAATATATATATATTATTTAAATAAAATACTCCAATCTTTAGCACAAGTACCCTGCAAGGTTACGGTGAAAAAATAATAATACAATGCGATTCAAAACATGCCTCGGTTTATTTGATAAATGGGAAACTTTGCGGTTTGATGGCTGTCAGCTCAAAACTTATGGACCTGTGACAGTGTGCGCGCGCACGTGATCGAGGCCTTTCTTCGTCAGAACAAGTCGTGATAAAGTGGGGGGCGAAACACGCCCGACATAGGAGGATGTCAGCAATCTCGAGCTGACGGACAGATCGACAACATTCCGTCTCATCGCGCGAGACCTACGGCCGACGTCTCGGCCGTGTGCCGTCGACAGCGGACTGCACGTGTAATACACGTCTCGGCGAATGGTTTACAAACGCTTCAAGAGATGCCCTTAGCCAAATTAACACGGGCGAAAACAGCACAATGTTGAATCTTGACTTAAAGCTTTCGTGGCTGCAGGAATTCATATTCCTGGATCTTTCGGTAAAGTCACGTGACTTTACCGAAAGACCCAAGAATAAGCGCAATGTTGATCAATGATTTTTTTTTTTAAGAATCTGGGACAGAGCCCAGCGGAAGCCGAAGGGCGACCCCATCCATGGTAATTTCACGTTGAAATTTCAGCCAGGATCATCTCGGACCCACGCCAATCGTCGTCGTTTCTCTGGGGGTCGATAAAATAAGCACTCCCTGGGGCGAAAGACATCGCCACTCAGTGTCCACAGATATTGTCCTACAGAGCGACTAATCCTAGAGCAATGGGACCGAGTTTCTTAACATTAATACTCCATGTGTCATTAGCGATTCTCTTGGACATATATTACCGTGCGGATTATTGAGATATAACTTACATTTTATGTGAAGGATAACAAGCACATTTTAAATTAAACCACAGAACAAAATTAACAATCGCGATCACCGAGTGCACTGGAATTCAACAGAAGCTCATGATGCAAGGCATTATAAAAAGTAGGTTTTTTTCACATTGTGCCTCTACATTTTTGCTACGCTAAATCATTTTTGTACATTTTCTGTATTTTTTTTCCTTATAAATATCTGAACTGCGCATTTGAATAGGCTCAGGTAATCCAAGCAAACATTTACACAAATGTGCAACAAACAAAACGTAATAAGTATCCTGAACACAATGTGTGTGTGCGCGTGTGCAATGCTCATACAATAGACGAAATATTTTAAGTGTATATGTATAAAATTTACAGATTGGAAAATTGACAAGTGGTTTTTCTTATATTTTATGCTTTAAGGTCCAATGACCTCACATTATTCAAGCAACGTTGCTCCTACCTACAATGAGTACGAGTTCAAATCGTGGGCAGGATCAACCCATTGGCTTGGCATGGCGTTCCGGTGAACGCTCCTCTTCCCCCGGGCAAGCGGAGCGTGTCGGAGATTCCCGCCACCTTAGAACGCCGCAGCTACAACCAGAGCTCACCTTGGAGCGCGCAAAGCAACCGTCGTCCCCTTTTGTGAATGCGCTCGTTTCTGAATGTCAACCCGTGACTCCAAGGCAGGGCAGGTGCACTCGCACAAAGCTTGTTACGGATCAAGGGCACGCTTTCTGTTGTGACTACATCTGTCAGCTGTTCACACGTATCCCGGGGAGAGAGGTCGCCCAACCTGACAGTGACGTGCACTTCCACCCACCCAGGGGTGTCCTGGAAAAGGAAAAACCGCTCGAAAACCCACAAAAGTAATTTGTCCAGAGTACAGTTCTGTTGAGAGTGCAGATTTAGGCGGGGGGGGGGGGGGGGGAGTGACTGAATCGTTAAATACATTGTGGGCCCATCAGCATGTGGGTTATCAGGTTTTAAAATCACGTTTCCCCCCCCCGAGAACACCACCTCCCTTTAAACGAGGACAGCACCTAAAGTGGTGTTGTCCCCGAGACAGCAGGAAGGTCCCCCTCCAGTAAACCGACTGGCACGTTCCTTGTGGTGCGGTAAGGTGTGGGTAACATAATCTCTCTGCTACGGAATCAGAATAGTTATGTCTGTGCAATATCAAGCAGATAAAACATTTACCGATACAGCGAGGAGCCCTGCGGTTGCATTGCGTGCAGTTGTGAGGTTGTCTCCATGTGGATGGAAAGTTAATTATTCAAGTTTCGCGAGATCTGGAAGCCGGCCGTGGCAATGTTTACAGTAATATTAAACATGATTGTAAAAAAAAAGCAGTACATTTAAACGAAATTTCTCGGGGTTTTTTTCAGGAGTTAGGTTTTTGTTCTTCCCTCCAAGCAGAAAGTGCCCTGGCAGTGAATATCACTGGTACTCAGCGCCATCCGAATCTTACACAGCAGACCACCACAATATACAGTCATCTAAATAGGAGTAATTATGCTGCTGCTGCCGCCACCGCCGCCACCACTGGTCATGCTAGACGCGAGGACAACTGCGTGTTTCCAAAGTCAACGCAGACATCCTCCGTAAACGAGGATCCCGCGTTCCCTACACCGAGCCGCGACGAAGGCGTGTGACGTGCAACCCCACTGGCCTTAAAATTCCCAGGGGCGAGGGAGCGGTGGCCTCCTTGAGTGGCGATGAAGCCAAAGCCGGTGGCTTACAACAGCTGTGCTACAGGCGACGGCCCAGCTGTACTAGGGGGGGGGGGCACTGTCGGCTGTGAGGGAGTGAGCCGACAGGCACCGCACACCCGCGATAGAGCACTTCGGAGATGAGGGTCGGTGGGTCGTGTACATTTGTGGAACTTCCGAATCTGTCGGGCTGCAAAGGGGCTGGGAGATGTCACAGTACAGCAAGTGGGTTTATTCCATCTGTGCGGAGATTTCGATGTCATTCAATCGTTTGCATGGGGTTTTTCTCCGGGTACTCCCGGTTTCCCATCACAAGTCAAACAAACACTCGTTGATGGAATTGGCCAAATATCCCAATGGCAGGACCCTCCTTAAAACGAGTCGTAAGCCTCACCGATTGTTTCATGGATTAAATAAACGAGCATCGTTATACAAATATTTTCAATTTCAGATCATTGCCTCATAGGTCCCTAGCTGCTCGGGCTTAAGTTACCAACAGCCAAAGAAGATCAAATAGACTTAGTCGAGGAAGGAATCTGCCCATGAGCCTAAACGGAACTATTTGTGATGTGAAATATATAGTAATCGATGAGCGTTCACTTTGGCGTTCACCAATTTTCATCGCTCAGACCATCCACGATTCCAAAACCATGCCGGCTATTTACACGATTTAACATTACGTGCAGTGGTTCTCCATCACTCTGCGCTGTTCTATCCGTCGCATGAAAACAGCGCCACTGATGGTCCTGCGCCGTTCATGAAGACAAATACACAAAAACGAAGCCCAATTAAAATAGCGGGTCTCACGGCAGCATGGTGGCAACATCAGACATGTATTTATTGTCTCTCATACAATGCTTATTTAACCCAGGAAAGCCTCACTGAGACTTGCCTCTTAATTTAGGAGGGTCCTGCCCATATTTTTGCCGTTTGGTGCGATGATCGCCGTGTATATATATATTCCAACCGAGTCGTAATTTGTGGGTATTTTTTTTTACTTTTTGGCAAATTTGGCCCTCGCCGCCGGAACACGATGGGTCCACTCTTGCGAATGACACCACGGGATCTTTAACGGTCACCATGACGCAGGCAGCGCGTATTTTTATAGTTAATACCACACCGCAGTATTAATCAAGGAGTGGGGGGGGGGAGCTGGATTCGAACCGCGGACCTCTGTAACGAGCAGGCAGATGGGCTACCACGAGAAGAGAGGCCCCATGTCACCGCCGACATTGATTTTAAATAAAGCAGAGGTCCCCCATCTCCCGTTCTCGCCGCAGCAGCTGTGAGAGCTGCACCAAGCCAAGTTTTTTTACCGAAACCGGGGCACAGAGACGAACAGCAAAGCAAGAGGGGTGGCCTGGGAACTCTCACAGACACTGACGGAGGGGGGGTTGGGGGGCGGAGTGCAAAATAATAAAGTGCCTTACGAGATACGGCTCCACTGAATTTCTGAACGTTGGCCCGAGCTGTTACATTGGGGATAAATAGCCGAATCAAAATCTAATTTCAGGAGTCGGGTTTTGTAAAACGGGTTGATGATGCGGCAACAGCTGGTGGGCGTGCAGTGAATGTGCCCTCGCGAGGCCCCCCATTACCGTGCCGAGCCATCGCCTTCAGCAAAACGTAACACACATTTTTGACTATTTCTTTGAGAAAACCACGCACAATCATGCTCACGTGCTCCCCCCACCCCTATTACACCCAACAAGCCACAATCAATTTAATAAATTAATCATTTGTCAGACCAAATAAATTTTCATTTTAAATAGCGGTCTTTTCAATATGTCCAGATGGCACAATCCAGGAAAGATTTTGTGAATTTGCGGTCCCATACGGAGAGGCCAAAGCACTGGGAATAAAGTCACGTCCCGACTGTGGAGGCCTCTACCCGCAGTGTCGCACCAAAGCAAACACTACGCCTTCTCTCCGCTCTCGTGAATTTAGGTGGCGAAATTTATTGCACCGCAGCCGCCTACGGGATCGCAGAAGAGATCGTGAGTGCCACTACAATCAAAACTTTCCCTGGCCCATGCGCGGGCATCGCTCCGTCCGGGGCACGTGGGTGCCTGGCGGTTGCCGCCCGCCCCCGCTGGGCTACGACTTTATCTCCAGGATGGAGGGGTTGTGGTCCAGGATGGCCAGGATGATCTTGTCCATGTATTGTCGCAGGTGCGCGTTGATGTCCTCCAGCTCTTTGAAAGCGACCATCAGCTGCCGGGCACACAAAGGTTGACCGTTAGTGACGGTGAGATTGAGAGCGAGCGCGATGAGGTTGGGCTGATGAGAATGCGGCAGGAGAGAAAATAAAGACGACGATAACATAAAAAAAATTCCGCTTTTAGCCTCCTCGTCAGTGGTAGGGACTGGAAGACATTTAATGCGTTACCACCCCGGTGATGAATTATCACGATTTGAAGGGGCGAATCGATGAAAGAATAGATTCATGTATTTATCTTGGTTGTACCATTTTGTTTGAATCGTGACCCTGAATCATTAAAATCCTTTTTTTCCATTCGGAAAATGTAGCACCTCTAGTGGCTGCAGAGCCACATGGACCAATTGTACACAACACATGAGAAAACCAATTTCAGGCGTGTATCATGAGCATAATTAATTTTAATCAACGCCTACCATTCATTACACACTGAGCTGAACAGGATCTGCAAGTGGCAAAACGTCTCCACAGGAAGCTGCATGTCATGTGTAAACGCCTGCATGTGTGCGTGAGTGTGCATGAGTGCATGCGTGTGTGCGTGCGTGTGCCCGAGTGTGTGAGTGCGTGCGTGTCACGAGTCCTCCTTCCCGTACCTCGTCCCGTGAGGCCGAGTCAATCTCGGCGGCGAGCGAATGAGACTTGGTGGCGGCCGAGAAGAGGTTCTTGGCCTCCTGGAGGCTCAGGCTGATGATCTGCCCGTTAAGCTCATCGTTAGACTCCTTCAGCTTGCGGTTTTCCTGTGCAGGAAGGACCAGGACAGACTTCCATTACAACGAGCGGTCTCCCAGGGCCAAGCTCCGCATGCGGGTCGAGAGGAACATGAGCGAGGAGAGATGGAACACTTATTATTCTGGGCTTCCTTCACTTGTGACCCCAGTTTAATCACAGGCCGCTCGCACCCAAATATATGAACTCAGGATCTCTTTGATTCTTGAGCCACCTGGCTTGCTTGATGAGGCCGGTATTTAATGGTGCAAACACTCCCCCCCCCCCTCCCCCATTGTGCCCAATGGTGGCCCACGTGAGGTCCTGTGTGAGCCCCCCCACTTGAGGCCTGTGTGAGGCCCGCTGCGGGAGGCCCGCGTGAGCCCCCCACCCGCACCGTGTGAGGGGCCCCCTGTATGAAGCCCTCACCATCTTGACCCTGCGCACTTCCTGTTCGAGCTCGGCCTCGCGCGTGCGCGTGTTGTACTCCTGCAGGCCCGAGGAGGCGCTGCGCCCTCGCCCGCCACGCTCCATCTCCAGGCGGAAGAGCTGCAGGTGCTCCAGCTCACGCCGAAGGTCCTCGATCAGCTGCGGTGCGCCGCACGGGAGAGGGAGGGGGAAAAAATACAACCAAATATTGATTTGCGTGGTTGCTTATTTTGTGGCCCCTTTACAACAATGGCTGCCCGCACCCGACAGCTGACAGCTCGTGTAACACGACCGATGACGTCACCAAGCCCCGCCCGTCACCTCCCGTCCAGCGGCATGCGTAGGAACAGAGGGGAGACTTCCCCCCTCCCACCCCCCAACTATTGTCGTGTTATTTGACGAGAGCCAACAATCGGTGATCGATCGCTTGGCTCATCGGACGTACGAGCTCTACACAGTAGGGGACGCTCTGGAGCGGAGTTCTTTCACTGTCGTGACTCAATCCGTGGGCGAATTAACCGTGCCTGTGAAAAAAATTATACGAATAGAAAAGTCTACGTTCCACACCAATTTCCCTCCCCTGATGTTCACGGTGGCTCCATTGTTAGCTGCTCGTGACTCAGTAAGTTTAAACTAAGAAATCATGCAGTGTTTCCTACAAGTTACAAGCGCTTTGCTTCACCCATCTGTTAGTTTTATCTGAGTCACCCCTCTCCCCACATTACCCTGGACAATGGAGCAGTAACTATTTTCTATGGGGCTGCAGAATAAAGCCCCCATGTGCCGGTGGGCCCTGCAACATCATCAGTCGCGTGCACGCCGGACGCAGGGGAGGTAGCGCGGCACCACCATCGTCGCACCCCTAATCTCAACTCTCGTCACGTCGTCACGTGGCGCCCCTCGTCACGTCGTCACGTCGTCACGTGGTGCCCCTCGTCGAGTGACGAGGGGCCAGAGGCGGAGACTCCCCGGCTCTGCGTGCGCCCCATTTAGCTCGTTAGCTGCTGCCAGTCAGGGGGATTGTGGGAGGGAGGCGTGGTCACGCGGCGGACGACGGCAAACCTCCTGCGTGGCTTCCCTCTCCTTCTGGAACTCGTGCCGGTCGCGCTTCATCTTGTCCGAGAGCTTCTTGCTCAAGTCCATCTCGTCCTTCACGCGCAGCACGAGGTCCTCCAGACGCTCCTCCAGACGTGTCTTCTCCTGGAGACGCCACGGTGGTGGGGTGGGAGCGGGTGGGGGGGGGGTGAGCAGATACGGGGCGAGGGATTGAGAAAAATGATCGTCTCTACCCCAGCAGCATTCACTGCGAGGTTACTGATGTCCCGGAGACAATCCTTCAAATGAAATCGGTAAGCACTGCACGGTGTTGGCGCCCTCGTATTCGTGCTTGGCTATCACAAAGGCGTTTTGTTTCACAGGCGGGTAAGGTCGATCAGAGAGGGGCGATGTTCCTGTGCGGTTCTACCTAATTAACTTATCTTTCGGCTATTTTTTTCGCCATTCGCCAAATTTAGATCGAGACGTCGCCAACACATTTTTCCCCCCAACAACGTCACGGCATCTTTAATGCGCACTGTGAAGCAGATGGCGTGTGGTTATGCACAGTTTGCATGTTGAACTTCTTTTGCACCGTACGTATCCAAGCGTGAGAATCGGAGGCGAGTTAATTGTGAGCTGGTAAATGACGAAAGGGGAGTTCTCTGCGGAGAAAGCAATCGCCATTGTATTTTTGGGGGTGGGACTCTTAAAACTGTTTTTAACCGCGTGATTTCACCGGCAGCTGGTATATTTACATCGTTGCCCACCGCAGCAATGAAGCGGCAAACGAGAGCTCACCTCTTCAAGTTTCTCTATCTGCGTCTTCAGTCGCGGCACCGTGGTCTGAAACGCCTCGTTTTCCTCCTCCACCAGGAGCAGCCTGGGCACACGCACACACACACACACGGCACTTATGGCCACGGTGGCGGCACAAGCTTGCGATGCGGGCAGCGCCCGGCGCAAACATGGCCCCGCGCTGCACAGCGTAGCGCCCACAATGCACTGCGTGACTACCATAATGCACTGCATGCGTGGCTTCCACAATGCACTGTGTCATGACATAGCCAGGGCTATGGACGTACTCTAACTGTGACCGGACGCGCGAGGACTCCACCAAGACCCAGGATCTTCGCGGTGGGCGCGGAGGGGGTGGGGGGGGTGCTCGTACTGAAGCTGCTCAGATGCCGCACCGTGCGGAGTTGCCTTCAATGCCAGATTTTTAAACGTGAAGGTGTACATCTAAATGAACAGTAGCGTGACCGAACCACAGAGAGGTGCATGCTTGGAATTCCACTGAGACAGGAAGAGGAACACACGGATGAGAGAAAGCCAGAGACGTCAAAGTGACGGAAAATTAAGCAGGTCTGGGGAGGACACGTCTCTGGGAGTGAAGTGACCAGCGACCAAAGCTAACAATAGAGTGGCAGACAATTGAGGGAAACATAACAGAATGGACGTTAAACCGCGGAGATGTATCAATGAAATCGGCTCGTGCGCAGGTGCTAGAAGGGACCACTAAGGATGGCGATGGCTTGGGGAGGCTTTCATCCAGCAGCGCATAGATCACGGCTGCTGCTGCTGCACTGTCGACGACGACGACGATGGAGGAATCGATGCCCCCCCCCGCATAGCGACGAGCGAGCGAGTGAGCGGCACCTGTTGGCGAGCGTCTCCATCTGGGCATTCTTCTCGCGAGCGAGCCGTGTCGTCTGCTCGCGGTGACGCCGTGCATCCTCCTCCAGCCGCTCCTCGCCACGCACCTCGGTGTCCTTGAGCTGCTCCTCCAGCTCGTGGATCCTGCCGCAAACGTACCACGGGATTAGCCGCCACCACCGCAGCCACCGCCGCGTGCATGAGTGAGTGTGTGAGTGAATGCATGAGTGAGTGCGGGAGTGCGTGAGTGCGCGAGTGAGTGCGTGAGTGAGTACGTGCGTGCATGAGTGACTGTGTGAGTGAGTGCGTGAGTCGGTGAGTGAGTGTGTGCGTGAGTGCGTGAGAGAGTGCGTAAGAGGGTGCGTGAGTGTGTGAGCGAGTACGTGCGTGCATGAATGAGTGTGTGAGTGCATGAGTGCGTGAGAGAGTGCGTGAGTGAGTGCGTGAGTGCGTGAGTGAGTACGTGAGTGCATGAGTGACTGTGTGAGTGAGTGCGTGAGTCGGTGAGTGAGTGTGTGCGTGAGTACGTGAGAGAGTGCGTAAGAGGGTGCGTGAGTGTGTGAGCGAGTACGTGCGTGCATGAATGAGTGTGTGAGTGCATGAGTGCGTGAGAGAGTGCGTGAGTGAGTGCGTGAGTGCGTGAGTGAGTACGTGAGTGCATGAGTCAGTGAGTGAGTCAGTGAGTGTGTGAGAGAGTGCGTGAGAGAGTGCGTGAGAGAGTGTGTGAGTGTGGGAGTGAGTACGTGCGTGCATGAATGAGTGTGTGAATGAGTGCATGAGAGTGCGTGAGTGAGTACGTGAGTGCATGAGTGCGTGAGTCAGTGAGTGCGTGCGTGCGTGCATGGCGCAGCGCGCACCTGTGCACTAGGTGCAGGTTCTCCTGCTTGAGCTTGCTCTGCAGGTCGCAGTTGGCCACCGTGTCATTCTCCAGCTCCAGCACCTTCTTCTCCAGTATGCTCACCTGGCACACGGCACGCGGGGTGTCATCTTCGACAACCACGACGAGGAGGAGCAGGCGTGACTGGGCAGTGCCGACGACGGCGGTGAACATGATGAGTGATGATGACAATGATGACGATGTTCATGATGAGAACAATTATAGCAATCGCGTTCCCCGAGGCGGTGGCGACGGGCAAGGCGCCATGACCCCCGTTTGGCAGCCTGTCGGGGAGATGACTTCAAGCGACCCACCAGCAATCGAACGTCTTTCACACCGTATGTAGCCAACCGCACGTAGACAATGCGTCTAGTTTGTATCATACGAATTGAGCTCAAGGCAGCATCGCTCGGGGGAGAGATGCTGTAGCCAAGGGGGTGGGTACGAGATGAAATTGATTCTGAGGCGAGGATTAAAACCCTCGTCGGTTGCGTGTTCATTGCAGCTTCCACGTATCCCCTCAGTGCAGCTGTTCGATGCAGGAGCTGTTCGGTGCAGCTTCCACGTACCCAATCGACTGCAGCTCCTCCGTGCAGCATACATCGCTCCATTCCTGCTTCTATTAACATTTGTGGTGCCGCCTCAGCCCCGAGACCCGGTCCCCCCACTCCCCTCCCACCCCCTCCATGCCCTCCCACCGCAACGTCATTTAGCCCACGCATCCTCCACCCCCGATTTGTAAATTTCTGGTGCCACCCAGGGTCAGGAATGCCGATGAGGGTCGTTGGGGCTGTCGCGTCGTGAAGGCCGTGAGGGCCGCTGGGCCGTGAGGGCCGCTGGGCCACTGGGCCGCGAGGGCCGCGAGGGCCGCGAGGTCACGAGGCCACGAGGTCACGAGGGCGTGCATGGCGCTCACCTTCTCCCCGATGTCGGGGCCGCCCAGGTCCAGGCTCTCCGTGTAGAGGTCCTCTGTGCTGCCCGCCGCGCTGCTCAGCGAGCTGTGGTTCAGCAGCTGCCTGTGGGGGATTCGTCAGCGTCGGGGATCGTCGGCGGCACCGCCTTCACGCGTTGCCCACCGGATTAACATCTCACGTAGTGCGCTTTATTTGTCGTCTTTTTCCCCCATCATTTCTCTTTGGTCATTCTTTGCTCCGATTCCCATTTGCTTCTATTGGCCATATCAGTTTATTTTTGTCACCAGAAGTATTTTATTGAAGGAAATAAAAACCAGGGGAAGGCGCAGCGTGCGGTCAGACGGGGTTGGGTGGAGTTAGGCGCGGGGGGGGGGGGTGGTGAAGCGGAATGGAGCAACTCCACCTAAGTGGAAGAGACAAAGTGGAGTGGAGACGCTTTGGCGAGTGCAGTGGGGGAGGTCAACGAGGCTGTTAGGGGCCGTGTGTGTGCCGTGTGTATAAAAAACATAAACTATAAGGCGCACTGAGCTATGTAGCTCTTTTTCAGAAATGACCTGGCCACAAATGATAGTTCAACAAGGTGGCTTATCACGTGGAAATGTATAGCAGCCAAATACTCGAAACGCGTGTTGATTCTAAATATGGAGGGAAAACCCGGAGCACCTGGAGAAAAATCCACACGACCACGGGGAGAGAGCCATGCAACCTCCAAATATACAGCAGGTGTCAAGGTAGGATTCGAACCCACGACCTCCTGTGTACCAGGCGAGGGAGATAAGATCTCACCACCACAGCACTCCTTTAACATCACCATCATCATTATTGACGTCATCGTTGTGATCATCATCAAAGTCAGTATCATCAACAACATCATCATAACCATCAGACCATCATGGTCAACATCATCACCGATTCTCTAATCGTCCCATTCAGTTTGGACACAGAAGAGCGGGAAGGATAACCCGCTTACTCAGCAGCTGCGTGCGAGTCTCTGCAGCTTGTCCTGATGGCTGAACTCAGCCGCCAGGGTTTGACCATGCGAATGGTGTGCCCCTGCGATGGAATGAAGCAACGTACACAACGCATTGCCATTCCAACCTGCAGTGTGACTCCATGTGCCACTGAAAGGGGAATATTAGCCCAAATGTGGAGCGCAAGGACTCAAGTTTTGAAATCATCCAGCATTAATGCGAGGATTGAAAGCTGAGGCCAATCAATGTTCGAGGTCCGTGAGCCTCCTCTCAAAGTGCTGCTTACACGTCTTAACCTCGTCGGCTTCCGCGTCTTAACCTCATCGGTTTCCGCGTTTTAACCTCGTCTGCTTCCGTGTCTTAACCTCGTCGGCTTCCGCATCTTAACCTCATCGGTTTCCGCGTCTTAACCTCATCGGTTTCCGCGTCTTAACCTCGCCGGCTTCCGCGTCTTAACCTCATCGGCTTCCGCGTCTTAACTTCGTCGGCTTCTAAACTTCTGTGTCGGAAGCGCGCGCTTTCGCGTGCTAAAACCCAGAAGCAGTCCTCTCACCTGGCAAATGCATTCGTAGATATCCTCCGATTGGGGCTGAAAAAGAGAACAAAGGCACCGCAAATCAGTGGGTGCAGCCGGGAGGAGCTGAACAAGGGCCGACCGCAAGCCAACGGTCGCTGGTCTGCTCTTCGGTCCCAATGTCACAACGGTTAAAGGCCCCCCCCCCTCCCCTCCGGAGTAAAGAGGCGAACGCAGGACGCGGCTCTCGCTCAGACACAGGGCCGATCGGCACGGAACGATCCCTCCCGTCGCAGGCCGACACGTGCCGCCACTCACCCTCTCGTGTGCCGTGCCGGCTTTTATAAGTGCTCGTGAGCAGCACTTGCCCCAAAGGTCTGTTAACGGTTATACGGGGATTCTTTGTTGAGTACCCAATGCTATAAGTAAAAACATCGCCACTCGGGAGATAAAGGCGGCCGGGTGTGGCGTTGGACCCAGGAGGAGACTCTACAGATGTTTTGATTCTTTTACATTTGCTCACAGATGAGCAACACTTGCAGCATCTCCACAGCCAGGCAAGGGTGGTCTAATTGGAGCAGGACACGAGACGGCACTAGGCCGGCCAATTAGTGGCGAGCGTGGAGCTAACGAGCCGTGGAGGAGTGCCGCTCACGCCGAGACCCCAACGTGCCGAGTAGAGAAGCCAGGACCACTTTAAATTCCAGCCGCAACTCCACTTGGCCGATTGAATATTGTAAAAGTTACAGCTGGAGATCACTGCTGAGTGCTTCGCCATCTATGGGGAGGAGGCGGCGGGGGGGGGGGGCGAACTTCCCCATCGCCCTCCCACTGCACCACCCAAACCACCAGCGCACGCCAAGCGATGAACCTGCACTGGTGTCCATGGGCTGGAGCGGCTTAGAGAGGAGCAATCAGACAGAAAACACCACTTCATTATTTCATTCCTTTACTGGGGGCCTAAGCCATCCACGAAAAACGCCGCTTATTCCAACCAATCGATCAGGATAATTTTGCCGGGCACTGCCGTTGGGTCGCACTGTGGCTCCTTCTTGTGGGGTCAGGGGAAGGCGATGGGGCCGGTGGGGCCGGTGGGGCCGGTGGGGCCGGTGGGACCCGAGGTGGGTACTGGCCACGGGGAGGGCGGTACCTGTGCGCCTCGAGGTGGCGTAGGCGCGCGTCGAGCTGGCGCAGGAGGTCCACGCGGCGGCTGCACTGGCTGCAGTAGAGTGCCAGGCCCGGGCTGGGCGGGAAGAGGCCCAGCCAGCGGCGCTGCGAGCGCTCCGACGGGCTGAGGCCCGAGCGGGGAGGAAGCGGCGGCGAGGGACGGCGGAGGAGAGCGAGAGGCGAGGAGAGGAGGGAAGAGCAGGGGTGAGGGTAGAGGAGAGTTTGAGGAGAGGAGAGAGGCGAGGAGCGGGGGTGCGAGCGAGATAGCGGATGTGGGAAGAGGCCAAGAGTACCCGAGCAGATGCGTGTAGAGGAATGGAGATGCAGATTGAGATGTAAAAAGAGAAGGAGAGAAAAGGGGATGAGATAAGAAGAGGTGACGGGAAGCCGGGTGAGGTGAGAGCAGGGAGGAAGGCAAGGAGGCGCCAGGCAGGAAACGGGGACAAGCAGCAGGGGAGAGCAGAGGAAGCCGCGGCAGAGAAAAATCACCATGGCAGCGTGGATTGAACCACAATCACGAAGAATCCACACGCGGTCGCTCGATTAGCAGATCGGCGCTTGATCTAGACAACAGCAAAGAGTGCGCAGGGGCGAAGCCTCGCACCGGAGGCCCTGCGGATCGCGGCCACGGGGGGGTGATGCAGGGGGGTGACGCGGTGGGGTGACGCGGGGTGGTGGGGGGGGTGACACGGGGGGAGTGACGCGGGGGTACCTGGTGGGCACGGAGCCGGCAGGCGCATCCAGGAAGGCGCCGCCCTGGCGCTCGCTGTGTGGCTCGGACACGAAGTCGCTCTCGTCGCCTTCGCCGTAGTCCTCAAAGTGCTCCTCCTCGCTGGGCCCCGCATGGGACACTGAGCGCTGGGGGGTGCTGCTCACGCCGGGGAACAACGCACCGCTCGCTACTGCTCGGTGCAACTAGGTACCGCTAGGTACCGCTCAACACCACTCAGCACAGTTCAGCACAGCTCAGCACCGTACCGCGCCAGTGTAACTGCCATGCAGTGGTGGCTGAGTGGCTCAGGGTTCGTCGACGCCCAGCCAGCACCGCTGAGAGCCTGGGTTCGAATCCAGCCCTAGCGATTCAATGAAACTGACTCCTCGAGTGTGGCGAGTTGATTGGTTCGGTCCATTCACAAATGACTTCACACATAATTTGGCCAAATTTGTATTCTGCAGTCAGGCATCGTGGGAATGTCCCCCCCCCCAGTGTGGAAATAAAGGTCACAGGAAGAGAGCCCTTCCAGTGACCCCTGCTAGAGGAAAGAGTGAACCTCCCCACTGGCTTAGGATGGTCAATAGAGTGTCAACATAATTCAATTCGAATGTACGTAGCAACTCAATGTGACTGCATCTCCAGACACCATACAGAAACAGTCAGCGTGTCCATTTCATAGATTGAAAACGAAATTCTTTAGAATGGTTTCGCGTGTTTCGTTTCTTGTCCTTCCCCCGCACCTCTGATTAACGTGGTTGGCTACGCATGGCGCGAAAGAAGTTGACCATATATACATGGACAGAAAAACACCGTCAGTCATAGGCAGGAGGAGCGGAAGGCTTGAGCCTAGAATTATAACAGGGGCGGGGAGTCAACAGCACGGACGGGTAGGGGAAGGGAGATCCGGAACCAGGGGGTCGACATTGGAGGGCAAGCACCGAGGCGAGAGCGTGTAAAAATTCCCGACTCGCCATCACGGCATCTCGCGGTTCGCCTCGTGTGTCCACCGTGGAGTGACCGTCACCGTTCGTTTCATTTCCACGCGAAACCATGGCTCAGTGCAGTCGTGCGCGTGCTATCTATTCATCGGTAATAATCCCTTCGACGTAAGATTATTACCGCGTGGCTTTTAGGGGATTTTTTTTTTCATCCTGAAAAGAAATAAAAGAGCATCGTGCAGTTTTTGGTGGAAGGGGTTGGAGGCAAAACCAGGAAATCGCTGCGATGCAATTTCTAATATTTCTTTTGGACCCAACTCATGACGTGACCCTGCTCAGACTCCTGAATAAATCGTCCAAATCTGCTGGCCGGTGGTAAGTGGGGAACGGATGATGGGCAGCCTGTGTCCTCAAGATCCCACCGTCTTATTATGACGCACTTCTCTACCTCACATTGAGAATTTTCTAAAAACGACGAGCAAATTCATTAACGCGGCTGGCAGTCGGCAGCACCGAAATTAAGTGGCGAGCGCAACGGGGCTGGAGAATGAAACCCCCCTAACGCTACGGCGAGAGCACAAAATTATGACAATTTGCACACGATGGGCTGGCACGAGGGGATGCGCAAAATGCGAAATTACACGCGGCAACCGTGACAGTCTAATATCCACCACACTCGCACGCGCAGAGCAAGACCAACATTTGACAGCCGAGCGACCGAAAAGGACTGGGCTTCCCAAATTGTACATTAGCAAGCCTCTTCATATTAGTCCTCTTCCATGAATTAACACGACGGGGTTAATATCCGGCGGATCGCGTACTCGCGGATTTACAATGTTCTTAATGAGACTGACCGCGTTGTTTGCTGGGGTGGGGGGGGACCGAGAACAGCCCCCCCCCCACCCGCTTCTCTGTGCGAGGGCGCCACGCTCAATCCGTTTCAACACCGGCGGCGAGATCGCGCCCGGGCCCTCATCGGTCACCACGGCGACGCCACGGAATGCGAGACATTTGCGTCCTACACGAGTGGGTCATTAGCTCGGGATACCGTGGTAAGTACCGCATGTAAAACACACATCGCCATTCCAATTCACTTTGCTATTATTATTTTGCTATTAAGAGCGGTAATGTCGCAACAGCGAAGACGTGGAATCAGCGGTAATGCATTTGCTGCTTCATGCAGAGGCTCACGGTTATAATTCAATGGCTGCCCTGGTAATTATCGCAACGTCTCATGCCGTGATGGCACAACGTGCCATCCGCTTCACGGTGGATGTTAAAGATCCCCCGACATCATCTGCAAGAGAAGGACATTGTGTGCTGGCTGTCAGGGTAGATACATTTGCCAAATGACCAAAATTGGGATTCTACAGAGCAATCATCTTCTCCCCATACTGACAGACGAATGCCCCAGGTTGATCATGCAAATAAGACAATCCTGGTCTCTTGAGTTCTCACCCGGTTATATCAAATAAACCTGAATCTTGAACTTAATTTGGTGAAATGAGATGTATTAAAATATACATTCTTTGCAGCAAATGGGATAGGAAGGACATACAATGTAAACGTCCTTCCAAAAACGCTACCCTGCTCACGGACAGGATTAACCCTTTCCCATTCCGATGACGTATGGACGTGTGCGACGTGTACGTCATCAGTTTTTCTTCAGATCCCGTTCCGATGACTTATGTGTACGTAGACATACATCATCGATTCTGTTCCGATGACATATCATTCCGTTCCGATGATGTAAGTCGGAACGGAATTGGAAGTACAAGGCGATGCTGGAGGGCATGTGGCACAGTTTGGTGCCAGCTGTCATAAAGTTGCAGTCGTGTCTCTAAAGTTCTCTGCGGTGAGTACAAACAGCGGCACTATGCTTCTCTAAAATAACATTAACACTAACTACTCGCACATTCTGAGATTCAGCAGTGAACAAGACACCCACCCTGTAATTTGCAGACGTCTCGGAACAGGAGTTAAAATGCACGCGTTCCCGAAGTTTAAGTAGACAGTCCGTCCAGTGACAGACAGAGGTGAGAATTCATAATAAACATTTATTATGAAAAATATTGGTCGCAAAAGCCTCCTGTGTTAAACTGAGAGGTGAGAATGCTGTTAAGAGACTGCTCGGTCACTCTGTTTAAAGAAGCCATCGTACAATTCGCCAACTCTAGCAAAATCGCCTGATGAAGCTGGTTGTTGTAATCACCAGTGAAACCTCACGGTAGTTGAGTTGTATGCGTTGTAAGTTTAGTCTCCAACACACCGTTGTGCTGAAGTGGTAACTCATTGTACGTTTTTTTGACGTGACAAACCTTACTCATTGGCTGTGTCGAGTGGCTGCCGGATTTAATGACAAAAATCCACACGACCACGGGGTGAGAGACACCACAAACTCCACAAATACAGGCGTCAGAATTGGGATCAAATCCAGGACCTCCTGCATTCCAGGCGAGGTAGTTAACATCTCGCCACCTTGGCCAGATTCAGAATAATGTCTGCTGACACCGTATGGCAAAATTGACTTCAGCTTATTGACGTTGATTTTGAAATCACTATGAACACCTGACGTGGGTCAACAGCTCTCTAGTTCAAGCTTGAGGGTTTAGTGGCACCGGGAAATCCAACACATCGGGGCTAGAGGTAGAAACATGTACAGGTCGTGCCGTATGGATGATTGCCTCTTGCTCTGCACGGCGTGCGTGCAGCATTTTACAAAACAATTAATAGGCCGTGTTCATTCTACTGCTGGATGAAGGCCTCCCCAAGCAGACACCCTCCTCTCCCAGCGCCGCAATGCAAGAATCAATCTGAATTTTCTTGACCTTTCCTCTGCCTTTGACGCTGTTGATCACCCCACTATTCTTTCTGACCTCGGCATCTCTGGCAACCCCCCCCCCCCCTATCCTGGCTCAAGACTCACCTTACTTCTCGCACATCCTCAGTCTCCTTCAGTCACTCCGCATCCCCTCCCTCCCCTCTTAGGGTCGGTGTTCCGCACGGTTCGGTTCTGGGGCCCTTTCTTTTCTCTCTTTGATATTGTGCCTCTTGAATCTATCATCTCCTTTTTCTGCATTCCTCAGAATTTCTTGACTGATGATACCCAAATATTATTATCCTTTCCTTCATTTACCCCTGGACCGTTGCCCTCATATCCCCTTCCTGTCTGGCTGCGATCCAGTCCTGGACCGTGTGTCACTCTCATTTTCTCATCCTTCCAAAACATCAATCAGTTTCTTTCCAGCCCGTCGCTCTTCTCCTCCCATCTGAACCATCTCCTTCCCTCCTCTCTCTCCCCCTCTCCTCTTTCCTCTGCCCTCAATCTTGGTGTCACCTTTGATTCTCCCCTCACAGCTCCGCTACGACTCGCATCTGCCACTTTCATCCGTTACATTTCTGCTCCAAAATTCCTAGTTCGTTCGCTGATCTTAACCCGGTCTAGACCACTGTAATTATCTTCTTCCTGGTCTCCCTGCCCCCACTGCCCTCCATCAATTTCCAAATACGTCTGCGCTAGTTATTTCCAATCTCCCCTTTAATTATCACACTTCGCCACTCCTCGTCCTTCAACTCCACTGGCTTCCCGTTCACAAAACCGCTATCTTTTAAAATACCGGACTCTCGTCTTTAAGTCTCTCCATGGCATTGCCCCACATAATCTTGCCTCTTTCATCTCCTTCCATGTCCCCTCCTCTCGCCCTCTCCGTTCCCAATCGTCTCCCTGTTGATGATATCATTGCCCAGGTCGACTTAGCCCTTAAGAGTTTGGGACATTCCTGCAGACGTGGCAAGATGAGAAATCGCTGCAATCCTCAAAAACGCTAAGACACCTATTAGCAACATCAGCAAGGATGAGCGCTTTAAGCTTTCTCAACTAAATAAGAGAGATGACAGTCATCCTCTCAGCTGACAAGGGCAATGCCATTGTCGTTATGGACAAAATCACTTATAATAACAAAATTCAGGACCTACTTAATGATGGCAGCTATACCAAAATCAATAGAAATCCTACCAACCACCTGGTTACGAAAACCAATAATATAATCACTGATTCGACATCTTTAATCGAACCAAACAAGCGGCTTTCTCTAAAACCCTCTGCTGCTAGACCACACAGTTTTTATGGCTTACCAAAAATCCATAAAGAAGGTACACCACTCCGTCCTATCATCTCCACTATTGACTCACCCACCTACAAAGTGGCCCGATTTA